TAGAGGTACCTACTTAGCTTTTGCCTACGGCTTTGTCCGTGTAAAATTTTGTCTGTCACAGAAAAAATAAAGAGCGCATCACTGTTTCAAAAACCGGGATAAAAACTGTCCAACGACTTTTCCCAGGACTCAAAACTATCTAAATATCAAAATCGGTTCAATGGTTTAGGCGTGAATTCGTAACAAACAGACAGATAAAGTTACTTTCGCATTTATAATATTATTTAGTAGGGATAATTCAAAACCATCTGTTAAAAGCAAGTAAAGCAGATTTTGAAATAGTCTAAAATAGTACCGGGCCAAATTTCAAGTTTGTAGGTGTTAGTTAATACCGGCCGGCACCAATACCTATCAAAATTGTAATTATTACCTACTTGACAAACGTTTAGGTATTCAGTTTGGCAATTTGGCATTCAGTCAAATACTTCGGTTTTTCATAAATATTATGGTATAGAAATGTATGGCTTTTAAAATATTTTTTGCCAGGGGGGACAACAGTCCTCGAATCATTGATTAAAAATCTAGTCCTGTTGTCTCCCCTAGCCAGGGGGGACAACAGGATTTCGAAATCCTGTTGGCTCCCCCAGGGGGGCCAAGCAGGGGGGACAACAGGACTGCACCCTAAATTACACCATATTGTTAATGACATTGAGCATACATTTTTTTAAATACCTTCGGGAAGTAAAACTTCTGTACGTAGTACTTATTATTATTCTGTGCCCATACATAAAAATATACTTAATACAAATTAAAACATTTTACTTTCCACCTTTTGCAGGAAAAAAATACCAATTGATTGGACTATTAAGTTTAAGAAAATATGTCATAGCATGAAAAATGAGAAAACATCAATTAAATTAGCCTTTTTTTGACAAAACTCATTAAGTAGGTAGTCGTAGGGCGGCATAATCGGTTTTGCACGCGGGCGACGAAACAGCTAGCGGCGGGCCTGTGCGTGAGTCAATGTTCGCTCGTATGTGAGGCCTTGTCGAATAATATCCTGTAGGTGGGCCATCGTGCGTGTTTTGTTTTCGATGTAAACTCGCGGAGATGAACAGGCCTGTTAATACTTACATGCGCCATAATATAGCTGTCAAAGCTTCCACTTCAGAGTTGGCAGAAGTAATACAAGACTAAAAAAGTGCAATGGTCATGGTCATGGTCATGGTCATGTGATGCCAACATGGTAACATTGGCAACATCTCGCCAGCAATTGATCAAGTGCCTGAGAATGTTGGTTTTAACTGGCAACACTCACTCGACGTACTCCTCGATGTCCAGCAAGTATATTTCCTTGTAGCACTCGTACTGGCGCATATACGCTATTAATGGGATGATGGCTTTGCGGTACGCCTTGAGCAATCGATCCCGGTATTCTACCACGTTCGGCTCCATAAGACCTGATAAATATTAGCGAAAGTCAGTTAACTGCTGAACCAATTTGAATAAAGGATGGTGCCAGGGTCTGGACCAAGTGTTGCCCAGAATCAACCCATAGTGCATTTTGTTCCTCAGGCCTATACTAATGCGTAAACCGAAGCGCACTGAAATCTATCCCTGGAGTTAAGAGAAAAAAAGAGTTTTGTTTTGAATTATTTACCTACAAAATATCATCGATGTATACGTACTACGCATATGATTTCGCGATTGTGGCATTAAATAACACTCGCTATGTTGAAATTAACCATACTGCATCCGTACACGTTACTTTAGTGCGACTTAGACATTCTTTATAAACGATCTAGCGCTGTTTTAATTGTTTGGTAAGTTGACAGAAATTCGTTATTTCCAAAATGAAGCAAGAAGTTTGTTTTTATTATCCCTGGGTTGGGTGACATTGACAGGGGGCGCCACCGTCAATTCGCTTTTTGCCACGTTGGAAAACACTGAAATGTCATTTGCAGGAGGGCGCTGCCATCAATGCTTACTGGTTCCGATCTTTGCCATTTGACGTTTCAAAATTATTAAACTATAACTTTAACAAAAGTCTGTCAAACTCCTTACAAAAACACCGGTTAAAGTTGTAATTACGGTTAAGATGATACAACTCAGCCTAAGTAGTTAAGCTGGAAGTGCAATGGGGAAAGTCACATTGTAGTTGATTGATTTAGCTTACCGATCGAAGTGAGGAACAGCTCCTTATCGAAGACCAGCCCGGTCATGATCATTGGGTGCACTTGCGGGATGAAGTGGCATCGGTACAGCATCTCACGGAATAAACGCTGGATTACGATCTGGAAGATTCCGGTTAAAAAAAGCTTAAAGATAAGCTATAAATGTTTATTTATCTAGTCTTGAATCATATAAATTGGTTAATGCTGGCACAATGTTACGTTGGAGCGATAGGTAGTGGGAAATTGGGGAGACTACTCTCTTGGAGCCGTTCTGCTAGAGAGCTATGCTTCGGGAGGCGTTCCAAAAGACTAAAGTCCGGTCGCCGAGCAGATTGAATTTCGTCCAATGACCCTGAGAAAGCCATCCTTATCGCTTGCGCATAATTATATTGCTGTCGCACTCGCACACTCACTGCGGCCGCCCCTTGACAGTCGCGACAGCAATATAATAACGCGCGCGCGAACGATAAGGATGGCTATCTGCTCGGTGACCGGACTTTAGCCCCGGACAATAATTCGAAATTCAATACCAATAGATCTTAAGTCACCGTCAGGTATTAGTGAGTACAGGCCACAGGCCCTTCTGGAAGAGAAAGCCCCTCATAATCCACTCCCGATGGGGCAGCAAAGTTCTAGCTAGAGTGAAGGCCACGTACCAGAAAACGCAACATGTGACGTCCACTTACAACCGTGGACCGACAACCTCATAAAGGTAGCAGGAAGGCGTTGAATGCTGGCTTGTACCAACCGGGCGATGTGGAAATCATTGGGGGAGACCTATATTCAATACTGGATGTCCTGAAGCACTCCCAGCCTCCTCGCAGCAGTCTCACCTCAAACTGTGCCGGGTTGGTGGTGTAGTAGGGCCCGTCTGCGCCCATGGTCAGGTAGAAGTAGTAATGGATCGACGACCTCATAAAGATAGCAGGAAGGCGCTGGATGCATGCCGCTGCCAACCTGGCGATGTGGAAATCATTGGGGGAGACCTATTTTTAGTAGCTGAAATGATAATGGCGGTGTTGATCCCACTCCCAGCCTTGGGAAACCTTGAAGCCTGGAAGCCTTGTTGGGAAGCCTTCAGCAGTGGACATCCTGTGGCTGAAAAGATGATGATCATAATGAACCCACTCCCAGTCTCCAGCTCACCTCAAACTGCGCCGGGCTGGTGGTGTAGTAGGGCCCGTCGGCGCCCATGTTGAGGTAGAAGTAGAACAGCGTGGGCGCCGCGCTGCGGAAGGGCGAGTTGATGAGGTCCGAGGCGTCCCACTCCCAGCCACCATCATCATCATCATTTCAGCCATAGTCCACTGCTGAACATAGGCCTCCCCCAATGCTTTCCACGTTGATCGATTGGTAGCGGCCTGCGTCCAGCGCTTCCCTGCTACCTTTACGATGTCGTCGATCCACCTTGTAGATGGACGTCCCACGCTGCGTTTTCCGCGGCCTCCATTCCAGAACCTTGCTGCCCCATCGGCCGTCAGTCCTGCGTACTATGTGCCCTGCCCATTGCCACTTCAGCTTGCTAATCCGTCGGGCTATGTCAGCGACTTTAGTTCGTTTACGGATTTCCTCATTCCTCCCAGCTTCCACAGTCTCACCTCAAACTGCGCCGGGTTGGTGGTGTAGTAGGGCCCGTCGGCGCCCATGGTGACGTAGAAGTAGTAGTGAACCGACGACCTCATAAATATAGCAGGAAGGTGCTTGATTCAGGCCGCTACCAACCGGGCGATGTGGAAATCATTGGGGGAGGCCTATATTCAATACTGGATGTCCTGAAGCACTCCCAGCCTCCTCGCAGCAGTCTCACCTCGAACTGCGCCGGGTTGGTGGTGTAGTAGGGCCCGTCGGCGCCCATGGTGACGTAGAAGTTTAAGTAGTAGTCAACCGACGACCTCATAAAGATAGCAAGAAGGCGCTTGATTCAGGGCGCTACCAACTGGGCGATGTGGAAATCGCTGAACATAGCTGAAAGGATGATGCCGGGTTGATCCTACTCCCAGCCTTGGGAAGCCTTGAAGCCTGGAAGCCTTGTTGGGAAGCCATTAGCAGAGGACATCCTGTGGCTGAAAAGATGATGATGATAATGAACCCAGTCCTAGTCACCAGCTCACCTCAAACTGCGCCGGGTTGGTGGTGTAGTAGGGCCCGTCGGCGCCCATGGTGAGGTAGAAGTAGAACAGCGTGGGCGCCGCGCTGCGGAAGGGCGAGTTGATGAGGTCCGACGCGTCCCACTCCCAGACTCCATCATCATCATCATCATCATGATCATTTCCATAGGACGTCCACTGCTGAACATAGGCCTCCCCCAATGCTTTCCACGTTGATCGATTGGTAGCGGCCTGCGTCCAGCGCTTCCCTGCCAACTTTACGATGTCGTCGGTCCACCTTGTAGGTGGACGTCCCACGCTGGGTTTTCGGTACGCGGTCTCCATTCCAGAACCTTGGTGCCCCATCGGCCGTCAGTTCTGCGTACTATGTGCCCTGCCCATTGCCACTTCAGCGTGCTAATCCGTCGGGCTATGTCAGCGACTTTAGTTCGTTTACGGATTTCCTCATTTCTCCCAGCTTCCACAGTCTCACCTCAAACTGCGCCGGGTTGGTGGTGTAGTAGGGCCCGTCGGCGCCCATGGTGAGGTAGAAGTAGAACAGCGTGGGCGCCGCGCTGCGGAAGGGCGAGTTGATGAGGTCCGAGGGGTCCCACTCCCAGTCACCATCATCATCATCATTTCAGCCATAGTCCACTGCTGAACATAGGCCTCCCCCAATGCTTTCCACGTTGATCGATTGGTAGCGGCCTGCGTCCAGCGCTTCCCTGCCACCTTTACGATGTCGTCGGTCCACCTTGTAGGTGGACGTCCCACGCTGGGTTTTCGGTACGCGGTCTCCATTCCAGAACCTTGGTGCCCCATCGGCCGTCAGTTCTGCGTACTATGTGCCCTGCCCATTGCCACTTCAGCGTGCTAATCCGTCGGGCTATGTCAGCGACTTTAGTTCGTTTACGGATTTCCTCATTTCTCCCAGTCGTCCAGCTCACCTCAAACTGCGCCGGGTTGGTGGTGTAGTAGGGCCCGTCGGCGCCCATGGTGAGGTAGAAGTAGAACAGCGTGGGCGCCGCGCTGCGGAAGGGCGAGTTGATGAGGTCCGAGGGGTCCCACTCCCAGTCGTCCTCGCACCAGTAGGTAGAGTCTCACCTCAAACTGCGCCGGGTTGGTGGTGTAGTAGGGCCCGTCGGCGCCCATGGTGAGGTAGAAGTAGAACAGCGTGGGCGCCGCGCTGCGGAAGGGCGAGTTGATGAGGTCCGAGGGGTCCCACTCCCAGCCACCATCATCATCATCATTTCAGCCATAGTCCACTGCTGAACATAGACCTCCCCCAATGCTTTCCACGTTGATCGATTGGTAGCGGCCTGCGTCCAGCGCTTCCCTGCCACCTTTACGATGTCGTCGGTCCACCTTGTAGGTGGACGTCTCACGCTGCGTTTTCCGGTACGAGGCCTCCATTCCAGAACCTTGCTGCCCCATCGGCCGTCAGGTCTGCGTACTATGTGCCCTGCCCATTGCCACTTCAGCTTGCTAATCCGTCGGGCTATGTCAGCGACTTTAGTTCGTTTACGGATTTCCTCATTTCTCCCAGTCTCCAGCTCACCTCAAACTGCGCCGGGTTGGTGGTGTAGTAGGGCCCGTCGGCGCCCATGGTGAGGTAGAAGTAGAACAGCGTGGGCGCCGCGCTGCGGAAGGGCGAGTTGATGAGGTCCGAGGGGTCCCACTCCCAGTCGTCCTCGCACCAGTAGGTGCAGAGACAAGGGGTTTCACACATAGCAACGAACATCGCCATCGATTGTTCGATGCAGAAGCGAAGGGCGTACTGGAAACAATGGCATAGCGTGCTTTAGATGGGCCCTGTATCATAAAAAACTGATAAAACTCATTTATTTATGCAAGTAGGCTTTCAAAAAGCAATTTTACACGTCCCAGTATTAACCCTACCACTGCTTCAGGACAATAAATGGGCCAGTGCTGAGAAGAAGCAGCGCAAGAAACTCAGTGTCCAAATTTGTTAATCAAGGTCGTTAGATCAAGGCCTTTTTCAAGATCATTGCAAAATTGCAGATCTTCCTAAAGCAGTTGCCTACTCTAACAGATCCGAAAAAGTCCGCCCCTGGAGCCCCTTATAGGCCCCGTATTATTGTTACGGCTGATACAGCAGTAGCTACGCCCATGACTGGAAATACTATAACAAGTGTTACCCAGTAAGGATGAGAAAAGCAAGTAATAAATTTTCATTACTTTTAGGGTTGTGTTTGCCCATTTCATATATTGTACAATTAGAAATTAAGTTAGAATTTAGTAATATAATACAAGTATTATTGTACAATTGTTGGCAGACCAATAAAATAAATAAATAAATAAATAGGGTTCCATAGCTTAAAAGAAAAAACGGAAGCCTTTTAGGATCACTTTGTTGTCCTGCGTCTGTCACTTACGAACTCGTGGAGAAAGTTGAAATTAACATCAAATACTTATGTCTCCGAACTCTGCGGTCAATTGCGGCAGTCTTTTTAGAATTCGGGACATATTACAGAAGTAAATAAACGTCCAACTTTCGTATTATTATCTAGACCTGCTCTCCTGAGCCGATATTAGTACCAGATATTACTAACAGAGTAAATGCAAATGATACTCATTTGTATTTACTCTGTTAGTACTTATTCAATCATCTCTATAAAAGCAGTTCTACAATATTGGACACTATTGACAATTAAATTCCTTGAACGTATAAGAACAAAACCAACCTGCATTCGGAACCTGACGAGCTGCATGAACCGACAAAGCTTGCTAACGCCGTAGAATTCCCACTTCTTCTCGTAAATATTGTACCACCTACAAAAACACTCAATTGAATAGTCATATTTGGGGAATGCACTATATATCATGTGTAGAGTCTTATATTAAAAGGATGCCAACGATTTCAAAGTCACCCTGTACATTTTCATACTCACCCTTTGCCGACATCCCTGAAGGACATTCTGATAGCATGCGCTGTGTTGTTCAACCACGTTATATTTAGATATTTAAGCATCTGCAATATCAACACAAAGCCATGCAATATGATGTACTAACTACACTAGTAAGATGTTTTAAATCAGTCAACAGCAAATCAAAGTAGAACTAGCACACAATATCACGAAAGACTATGCCCGTTTTCACTATCAATCCCTAATTTTAGTGACCCCTATGGTAGCACATAACAGGAATTTTGTTTCTACTATAGGGGTCACTTAAAAATTAGGGATTGATGGTGAAAAAGGGGATTGGGCCCGGTTTCCACCAAGGAGCGGACCGAAGAAATGTTTTGAAAAACCAATCAAACATTATTAAGGAAACAGGAGATCTGATTGGTTTTTCATTAAAATCTCATAAAACTCATTTATTTCTGCAAATAGGCTTTAAAAATGCACTTTTAACCCTACCACTGTTTGAGGAAAATAAACGGGCCAGTGCTGAGAAGAAGCAGCGCAAGAAACTCAGTTCTCTCAATACTAAGGTCTCTAGTAACACCACAGATAATACGTGTGAGTCACGTTAAAGGGTACATATGAAAATAGATAAAACTAGACCTATTTTTATCGACAAAAAGGAGGTCAAAATTTTTTTGAGATTTTTTTTTAATTTTTTATCGAATTTTTTTCCTTCCAATTACTTATTGTAAAGAAAACGTAATAACTTTTAAACTAAGAGGTATATCCTGATAAAATAAAAACAGTAATAATGCTAAATAACAGGCAATACTGAAAAAATGCATAAAATACCCAGAAAATGCCAACAAATAATAAAAAATGAGACTTTTTGAAAAAAATCTGCTTAAAAATTCGTATTTTTTTGGTTATTTGATAAATTTCTCAAAAAAATGCCCCTATAATAGGTGTTTTTTATTACTTTGTATTATTCTCTATCGTATTATCTTTGTAAAACCAAAAATCGCATGACTCTATCCCTATCACAACATTTGCTATGATCGTTTGAACAAAGGCCTGCCACAACATTATTCTCCGCTACAGGTAGAGACAATTTTAATTTTAACTAAAATGCTTATTTTACTTCGAAATCTTTTGTTTTTATTTGAAATCTAACTTGTCTTTATCAAAATTACAAATCTAGAGCCATTTTCAGTTTCGTTGTTAATAAAGCGTTGAATGGCGCGCCCGGAGAGGCTTAGTTCAAACAATCATTGCAAACGTTATGATAGGGATAGAGACATGCGATTTTTGGTTTTACGAAGGTAATACGATAGAGAATAATACAAAGTAATAAAAACCACCTATTATAGGGGCATTTTTTGGAGAAATGTATCAAATAACCAAAAAAACACGAATTTTTAGCAGATTTTTTTTAAAAAGTATCATTTTTTATTATTTTTTGGCCTTTTTTGTGTATTTTATGTATTTTTTTTAGTATCGCCTGTTATTTAGCATTATTATTGTTTTTATTTTATCAGGATATACCGCTTAGTTTAAAAGTTATTACGTTTTCTTTACAATAAGTAATTGGAAGAAAAAAAATTCGATAAAAATTTAAAAAAAAATCTCAAAAATTTTTTGAACTCTTTTTTGTCGATAAAAATAGGTCTAGTTTCATCTATTTTCATATGTACACTTTAACGTGACTCACACTGTATACTAGTTAACACTTACCATAGAGGTGCAATGTTGTTGGGCCGCATCGAATTCCGCTAAGCTCACATTTCGGCCATAGTTGGCTGTAAAGAATAGCATCGACTCCACCTAATGATGAAAAAAAGGAATTTTCATCATCATCATCATCATTAGTCTCCACTGTATGAGCATCAACTTTTCTATAGTCTGGTCCGGGAGCACGTAGAATTTTGACCTATGACCCCAAGCTACCCATCCTTATCGCTCGCGGGTAATTATGTTGCTGTCACGCTCGCACACTCACTGCGGGCGCCCGTCCTACAGTCGCGATAGCAATATAATTACGCGCGAGCGATAAGGATGGGTAGCTTGGGGTCATTGGACAAAATTCTACGTGCTCCCGGACCAGACTATAGTTTACTAAAAGCCAACGGATGATTTGGCCTACAATCCCCATGCTGGTTAGACGGGTTTGAGAGACCTATGCCCGTTTTCACCATCAATCCCTAATTTTTAAGTGACACCTATGAAAACAAATGCCTGTTAAATGTTACCATAGGGGTCACTTAAAAATTAGGGATTGATGGTGAAAACAGCGCATATTTGCGCCTTAGTTGCATTTTCTACATACAAGGGAAAAGGCATTCCCTTCAATGTAGACACTTCGTTGAACTGATCGAACTGAACAAGAGTGGTTGGCCAAATACAAATACGAAACTTGAAATGGTATATTACATTTATGTCAATCTTGTAGGACAATTAAAAAGCGACTTCTGATAAGCTTTTTTTAGGGACGCGCGCTGGTAGCTTGAAGAGCTTTTCCAGCTTCACCGGGCAGAGTGGCGAGTACAGAAGGTACTCTAGCCGTTTGGCGATCGTCGGTTGCAGACCGACGTTCGCGATCGGGCCGTGTCGAGCGCATACTTCTGATAAGCTAAATGTTTGTGGCATTTAAATAATAGTCGTCATCAGGCCAGTGGATTCTAAGCTTCATAATCATCATAATCATAATATCTTTATTGCTTCAAGTCAAGTTTAAGCTTTAAGTCTTTAACACAAAGTCCAAAATTAGTTGTTAATTCAAAGTCCTGGCCTAACCTTCAAGCACTCGTCCACGACAAGATGTATGCAGGACACAGCCTCCGTGAGCACGTACAGAGAGTACCACTGGTTGTACTCCATCCTGCCTTGGAAGTCTTCCATCACGCACGGGTAGCGTCCTGGACAGAAGTAAACAGTAACTATTATTATTGTATAGGTCGCGCAACGAAAGTTGAGCCCATCAACACAAGCAAAGATTTGTATTTATTTTGATCAGTACGCTTTCTGCGCTGTTAAACTAATAACAAGTACTTTCTGTCTCGCTTACAGACATTTGACAAGAGCGTGGTAGCTAGTGCATTCAATATTTGAACTTGAATGAATGTGCAAAACAAACATTGAGTTATAATGTACTACGTACTAGAGAAGACATGTCAACTAGACTGTTTCTGGCACGCAAATAGGTCCCTGGACCGAAATTCAATTAGTATGTGCTCAGCGGTTGCTGTGACAACACGCTTGAGTGCAGTTTTGTTTTTTGAAATATGCCATCCTATAGACGAAAATACTGTTCAAATAACTCCAGATACATATTAAGTAAAAATCAAGGAATGACTTTTTACCATTAAGTTGTACATTTATGCACTTTAAAACACTATTTTAACTTTAATTTGTTAATTACAAGGCGTCACCGCGGCGGCAGCCATTTTACGAAAATTTCAAAGAATAAAAATCGCAGACTTGACACTGACGCATAAATTAGTATACGAAAGGAAGGTTAAATACAGCAATAAAAAGATTTTTTTAAAGATTATAAGCACTTTGTATTGCACAAATTACTAATAGTCCCGTCCAGCCCCTTGTGTTAAGCTAAATAAGCTTGGGTTACGGGTGGGCTCACACAATAGTCGTGCGGCATCATGGATCAAACTTGTTTGAATCTCACTGCTGTTGTTCGTATGCGACTGGTTAGTTAGTAAATCACCCTAATTATTGACACCTAGCTCACGAGATAGGCTAAAATTATAATAATTGTACAGTGTGTCTGGTCACCAGTGTCCGACCCGTTAGGGCGCAGTAATATGATCAATTTAATCGACAAATCCAGTATTAAAAAATTACAGCTATTTTAATTTTTTTAGTTTCTGAGTCCGGATGGATTCATTTATTTACCAAATCTACCGATGTACAGGACCTATGAGTATAAAAGTGATTCGTTCGACAGCTGAAAAAGTAAGCAATACGTTGTCATCAAAAGCTTCCATTTAAATTTCTTAGAAACACTTGGTAAAAAAAATGATGCTTCTTTTTAGATTTTTCAATGTTACAAAAAACTAGAAAGTTTTACATTTTTAGATGCACTAAGTCATTACCTAAAAACTGATATACCTTGGCTTTAAATCAACTAGTCTAGGTGCTAGCTACACAGGAGATGCAGCGGTGAAAAGGAGAGGTGGGAATAGTCCCGTAACTTCTACCTCACAGCTATTATACGTGTACTCAACCACTGAGATAGTTAACAATAGAGACAATAAAATAACTGAAAGTTTCTGACTTTCAGTTATTTTATTGGTTCTGGAGTGAAGGCGTGGGTCATCCCTAGCTTTGTTCCTACCGTGACGAGTGGGAATTTTTCTAAAATCTCAAGATGGACTGACTGAAGATAGCAGGAAGACGCTGGGTGCAGGCCACTATCAACTGGGCGATGTGGAAATCATTAGAGGAGGCCTTTGTTCAGCAGTGGACGTCCAGTAGCTAAAATGATGATGACGATGTTTCCTTACAGTATCCAATTCAATAGGCAGAAACTAAACGTAAACGAAGTGTCGCCTCTGTAATGGTATCATTATCTATAACTCATAATATTTCGTGCGCTGTTGGATGACAGTTTTAAACTAGAGATGGGTAATTTTTTTATCGAATTAGAAAATACCAGTTAACGATTCTCAAGGCGATTATCGATTACATTAGATTTTAATCGGGAAGAAAAATAATTAATGGCTTAAGCATCAGTATGAAGCCCATACGCACTTGTAGCACAAGTAACACGATTAGCCTCAGTCCCCTCAGTTGTGAATTCGGAATCGCCAGTTGTAATTTTAAAATCGCATCACAGAGTGAAGTAACTAACACCAAAAAACGGCAGAGCGAAGTGATTTCGAATGTTTCAACTGCTACGTTTTGTCACTTGTCTAGGAGGGCTAATTTTAGTCTAAGGGAGGGGAGCTTAGATTACATTACAGGAAACGCACAATATAATAAAAGAAAATAATGTAAGTAGCTGAACCTTTTTGCTATTGAGCACCATGAAAATTTAACACAATTTAGCCGATTTGTTTATTTTCACAATCGATTCACAATGTCTATGATGAGGCGACCGCAGGAACGTCACTATTCGTGCAATCCTATCAATGAAGTACGACATTTTCTGGTGCAGATTTTATCGTAATAAATTATGAAACTTGATAGTCATGGATTTGACTGACAGCTGTCCGTCAAATTCCCGCCCCGCACCCCGCACTGTACATATTTTGTTCGCGATGTCTGTTCTATACGTAGTAATATTACTTCAATGAAAACAAACGCCTCAAATATTGTTGAGCGACCTATACCTGAATAGACAATAAATAGTAATTAAATATCCTTGGACATTTTACACTGCGCCATCAAAATACTAAAGAAAAAAACAAATACACTTCCTTAATTAGTAAGCAGGCTCTTTTCCGTGCACTACAAGGAAAAACATTCAAACTCAATTTGTACATTAATTTATTTTGAAACTGTTAAGATCGTCGTTCTGTCTCCTTCCTAAAGTTGCTGTGCCCTAACTGGGTCCACATTGTATAACTGCCTAAATTGAATCCTAATGTGAATGTGCTAATGTGGTTATGCAATAAACGATTGTGTATTGAGTATTGAACATAAAAGTAAATGGGACAACGGATAGTCTTACTATTACAGACCGAATATCACAAGCGAAACCGCGGTTATATCTAGTCTGCTGTCTCACCATAATCAGGCACGGGCGCCACGTAATCTTTAGTCGGCACGTCTATGAAGTTATACAAGTCTCTGTACTTCTGTATCGTGTATATTATCTTCATCTTGCCCTCCATCTTTCTGTATAGGAGCTCGGCCTGTAATGTAATGATAATCGCCCGTATTTACAAAATTACTATGAGGTCTCACAGTGCGCGTGGACGCACATGGTGACACACGAACCAATCACAGAGCTCTATCAACGCTGTGCGTTCGATTTGCTGCTTCACTTAAGCAAGCATCGATATATTAAAGCTTGCGTTACAAGTGGGTTTATCACAATATTCCAGTGGCAGGGGGGGTTCAAAGTCAAACCCGCACCGTTGGGCTATCATGATTGTGATTCTTATTATGGCGTGTCCACACATGCCGCCGGGTTTGCCGCCGGCTTTCAAAATGCCTTGCCAGTGTGCCGTCCTGGCCGCCGGCCGTGCCGCCCAGCATATTATTATGTGGATGCGCCATTATGATTGTGATTCTGACCATGATTGTGATTCTGATTCTGATTATGATAGTGATTCTAATCATGTATGGTTATGCCAATGCCATCTTCAAGCGTAACACGGTTATGATTACGCGCGTGATTATGATTATGACGCTACTTTCATTCTGAGCGCCTACGCGTGGTAATCATCCAGCGAGAGCGTCTGGCGGTGGAAACGCGTCACAGTTATGACTATGATTTATTAAGGTCATATTTGACCGCAACTGCACCTGGTGTTAAGTGAGATGCAGTCTAGGATGGTAAATACATGCCCCTGCCCTATAAGTGCTTATTCAGCCGGCAGCGAATTCCAGTCCAGTTCAGAGGTGGAATTGTGTAAAGCAATCGTAATCATTTGACAGGTACGTACAGGACAGGACGTACGATTATTCTGTCAAATGTTTTGTTCAACTGACTTTATTGTACGTTATTACAGAGAGCATAGCATTGTAAAAAAACCTTGGTAGGGTGCAGTAAATGTTTACTGCACCCTACCAAGGTTTTTTACAATGCTATGCTATGGAAGAGCGGCTACCTCTGACACAGGTGCTTATGTACTTAATAGTCCACACCTAATTTGTAACCCTAAAATTGCAGCGAATAAATGTTTTATTTATTTATTATTTATTTATTTATTAACTGTCAAATGAATACAATAATAATTGCTTTACACAATTCCACCTCAGATTATAAAAGAGTTATCGAAACGCTTAGTGCAAGCTGCAATGTCGATAATGTAGGGATGATATCAAACGATTATGATCATGATTATGATTATTATAATTGTTGTGATGATTATGATTATCAAAATTGGGATGATTATGATTGTGATTATTATGATTATGATTATTATGATCATGATTATGATTACCTCCTTCCTCAGCGCCTGCGCGTGGTCCTCATCCATCGAGCGTGCCTGGCGATGTACGCGCACCATGCGCCACACAGCCGGCATGAAGTGCAGAGGCATCATCGGCAGCCCGTCCAGCAGTAGACAATCCAAGTATAAGTAGAACCTGAGCAACGTTCCCAAGTTTCGAATGTCGCCATCCCTCTCGTGCAAGCGAGATACCAGCGTGAGCGACAGTGATAGATAGACAGAAACATGTCCCCAACGTTGGTGCCAATTTTTATTTATTCATTTATTGATGCAAAGCACTTGTAAGCTTACAGAGCAGGTCCAAAGCGCTTACAAGCTTAAAAATACTTTTTTCTGAATACATTATGTAGAACGTCTAGGGCATTGGGACCGAGACCATGTGTGGAGCCAAGTTATTAATCTAGTTTGAATTGCAACTATTAACGATAAAACATTTTTATGTTCCGATTCATATTTCACATTAAGGCCCAGAACAGACGGTGAAACGCAACTGCAACGAAACTGCAACTGCTAGTTACTTTTGAGTTGCATCTAAGTTTCTGCCATAGCGTCTGTTGAGAGACCACACATGACGCGACCAGTTTGAAACTTTCAGATTCAGTTTCATTCATAAGAATCATCAGAAAGTTGCAGTTTCGTTGCAGTTGCGTTTCACCGTCTGTTCTGGGCCTTAGACAATCAAATTGTTGCCAGCCAATTACGTCATACGCAAAGTGGGATGTCCACCCATAAGATGGACCGACGACCTCATAAAGGTAGCAGGAAGGCGCTGGATGCAGGCCGCTACCATCGGGAGATGTGGAAACCATTTGGGGAGGCCCATGTTCAGTAGACGACGTCCTGTGGCTGAAATAATGATGATTAATTACGGCATAGACAAACCGGGAACAAATACATAAAGGGCCTGTTTAGGAGGGCGAATTCTACGCGCGCAGAATCCATATGCGCAGAATCCATACATTGCGTCCACAAGACACGCGCGAGTTGAAAATTCGCGCGTAAATCTCGTCATACAAAACGCTCGTGTTCGCGCGTAGGATTCGCGGCGAATTGGCCCTCCTGTAGGCCTAAGATGCGCGCCGGGATAAGCGGTTATCACGCCATTTTATCGATTTTGCCCATACATTTTGACGTCGATAAAAGTTATCACGGCGCGCATCTTAGGCCTACTGGACAAGGCTAAAGTGACCACTAACCGCAAGTTGTTTTCGACCTCCCTGCGTAGGTCCACAGCAAACTTGACACGCTGCGCAAACGTCTCCGGATCATCCGCCTTGAACATCAGCCGGATGCGCGGGATACTACGTTAAAAACATTTTACAACCAATAGGCTAGTTGCCTAAAAAAATTTTTTTAGTCCGTAATGTTTAAGAGCGTTGTAGCAAAAAGTTGGCGTTCGAATTTTAGGTTTTTATTGCTTGACGTCGCGTAGTGAGTGCGCAAACTGCATTTATCTGTACAATTTCAACGCTGCGTCGACTAAACGATCTTAATCCGTAGTTGTATCGTACCTAAGACAGTACATCATACATAATAATAAAGAAATAATGTATAATGTACCTATTTGATTTTTTCTCAGATCAGAC